GGGAAGTCGAAACATTTCTGTTTCGACAGGAAGTTTTTCTCTTTCGTCTCAGTGAAAGCTTGTTTTGTGCTTGTGCACCTTAGAGGAACAATTTTAAACTTTTTGCCAGAAAAAGGACACTAAAACGTGCACGTGTGGCAGTTGCTTGGCGTCCTGCTGCACGGTGCAGTATTGAACAGCATCTTTTAAATAGGTCAGCCGGATGCAGACCAATCGGGACCGAGACCGTCTGACTCAGAGTCAGGAGCACAAACATCATTATCAGGAGCATTAAAAAGTGATAAAAGTTTCATACGAGTTGAAAATAAAACACAGCAAAGCCACTGTAACACTTTACATGAAAAAAACAGCAAAATTCAAGTTTATAAACTGGACATTAATGAATATTTTTACCAGAATTCTTGTTTTGTGCAGCAGAAAATCAAAGATATTTCAATAATTGTCGAATAAAACAAAGAAAAGCTGCAACTGTGCATTTCAGTAGCTGCAAAACAACGGCCATAATTTGTTCTGCTAATGCACTTCTCTCCGGATAAATCGACATCTGACGGATTCGGTTCTACAGTCGGATTAAATCAATATTTTCTTTCCACGCTTCACTGTAAGCTCATTTGTTTCCGCAGATACAAACCTCCATTGAGCAAAACGCGTTCCCTGCTAGCCAAAAAAGGAAGTGCTCTATTGTCCATTTATCCCTGAAAATAACACAAAACACAAAGCCGGGGAACATTTCATTTGGTGGCCGACTATTTGGGAAACAAAGGAAAAATGCGTGCTGCTTCCAGCCTTTCTAATCACCCTCGCCAAAGTGTGACACAAAAAAAATAAAAAATAAAACTCATGGGAAACTCTGGAGGTGACAGCATGGACTGAGAGAAACAATTCACGGCCTTAATGGGTCTTCCGAACTAAATCTGAAGCATGGCTGAACAAAGCGTGTCTGGTTGTCTACGGCTTTCCTTAAAAAGCCAGGCCAGGCATTGGGCAGCCTGTAAAAGGAGCCGGTCCTCCATCAGCAGTGAGGGCACGCTGCATACTAATAAGAACGTTCTCCTTTCCTAATACTGAGGGTAGTATCTGTGCCAGCAGCTGGGAAGAGGAAGGCTGCAGTCTGAAACATCTATTTTAGAGCAGTTTTGTTACAGAGGAGAGTCAGGAAGAACCAGCCCAAGGCCTCAGAGGTAGCACAAACCTGTAAAATGAGTCCTTTTTTAAAAGAGAACCGATCAAAAGCTCTTTCCTAATGGAGAACGGTACTCAAACAGCACTGGAAAAGGGACTGGAAAGTCGACCACGTTTGAGGAACCAAACCTGTGGATGTTTTTCTAAAAACACTACTGGTTATGCGTCATTATCTTACTATTAATTGCACCCAAAATGTTTCTCCCTTCTCTAAAAATCATCGAAATAGTATTTCTCAGAGCGAGGAGCAGTTAAAGGCCGGCTTGAGATCAAACTCTACGGTAAAAAGTTGACAGCAGAAGCTAAAATGGCCGAACCTATACATTGCGATCCATGAATGGAGGCTTACGTGATAAAACTTTCATGATAAAGTGCTCAAATGCATTTTCAAGGAGGGGTTATGCATTTTAAATGGAAACAGAACACGGACAAGACTCCCGTCTTTAGCAAAAGATGCATTCCGGCTGCCCGTTAGCTTAGCACAGCTAGCTACGGCTCAAATGTGCCATAGACGGGTTTCTTGTGTACAGACTCTGTTGGATGTGTGTGCAGCCTGAGGCTAAAACACAGTTGGCAGTCATAAGACCGGACAAAAATCCTCTTTAAATAAACGTATTCATAAATTCTTGCTTACTCAACCAATAAAACGGCTCGACCACAGAACTCCAATTCACAGGTCAGAGTATTACGCAGAGTTATGGAAAGCTCGATAGTTTTTCTGTGATTTTGCTCAATTAATAATGTTGGTTATTCACCCCCCCGATCCCAAATCTCCTCTGAAATCATGAAAGTCTTCATCTATTTTTATGCTTCCAGCAGAAATGGTAAGTTTCACTGTTCTAAACGGGTAAAGAATTGGTGTCAGGGCTGCTTTGGGATTGGACGCCGTTCACAGAAATGACACCACATCACAACATCAGCATCGATTACGTTGTTAAAGGTCATAATATCAGACTCTCTGAATCCCAGTCGGCCCGCATCCCATTCCCAGCTAAAGGGGGAGGCCTTCCAGGTGTAGCAGCCAGCAATCCTCATCCATCTCATTTGGTCATTAGTGCACTTAACCGCCGGTTCGTCTCTTTTTAGGAGCCTGTCTCTGCCAAACAGTCTGGGATGAGCACGGCTTTCCCCCCCCCACTGGTGCACTGACGCCACACAGAAAAAGCCGTCTGTATCTTAACTTCCACAGAGCTCCGGAGCTAAGTTTCCCTGTTCGGAAAGCGATCTCCATTTAGTTAACAGTGCAGGAATTTCCACTAATGCTAAATAATCAGAAGAAATCACGCTGGGTCAGGAAGTCTACATCACTGACCCCTCTAAACTCAAATTGACAGCATTTTGTGCCCTTCCAGTGAGATTATTTGCCTTTCTGACCCAAAGCAATAGTTCATGCAATAGCAAAACCAAACAGGTAGATAAAATTCATTCATGTGGACAGATGATGAAGTAAAAAAGACCCAAAAACCTGGTACACGGAAAACATCGTTGCTGTGTTTATAGGCGACATTACAAAGTAATGTGGGTAAGATTTTAAAAACCTCGATTCTGGAAAGCAAATCTTCAAATCTCAGTTTTTAGGTAAGTGGATAAGAAGTGAAAATGGATGAAAAAACGTCTGTTAACAGTCTAAAATCGAGCGAAAGCTGGCTGCACTCCACCTGTAACCTGATCGTTTAACAAACAGAGGATGTGTGATTCTGTGCACACTTGTTGTGTTTGGGTTGTTCGTCCCAACCTCACATGTGACACAGAAATATGAGGAAGAGGGGAGTTTTAAAAAAAAAAGACATTCTCTAAAAAGTAAACCCATCCCAGCGGAAGTTACTGTCCCGTCTGTAGGTCAGGGCTTAAAGCCGGCTGAAACCTCTAAGCACGGAAAAGCAGATTTTACACGAGAGCTCGTGAAAATAAGTTGCTGACGGCGGCTTTAAACATGGAAAACCAGATTTTCCTCTGAATCAGCAGAAGCAGATCTGCACCCCAAAAAAAATCCCTCCCCTGCTGCTGCTGGCCTGGCAGCAGAGCAGCAGCCAAACTGAAACTTTTCCCAAAACCTGAGACACACTTGTGGGGCACCAATAACCCCGAGTCCACACTTAGTTTTCCCCCTCTCTTTGTTTTTGTTTCCCACCTCATCACCATCACCATCATCATCATCATCATCATTATCATTATTACTGAATTAGCTGTGGGGGGTGGGGGGGTAAATATCCACTGTGCCCCCCCCCCTCTATTACTCCTCAAGTGTCTGTTTCCCACACCAGTCAAGGTTAACAAGCCGCGCTGGTGTCTGCGTCTGGCTGCGAAAGGTGGGGGGGTGGAGGTGGGGGAAAGGGGGGGGGGTGGGGGGCTGCAACTATATACCGTGTTGTGTGATGATGCAGACAGGCTGAGAGGGAGCCACTGGACCCTACAAACACCCCCCCCCCCCCCCCCCCCCCCCCCCACTCACATCCAGCTTCCCTGTTCCGATGACTCCCCCGCAGCGTTGCGCGCTATGCGTGAGGAATAATCCCGGATTCACCCCACGACGTGGCGGAATTAAATGCTGGCTTCTTTCTCAAAATAATCAATTGATTCCTCTTTTTTTTTCTTTCTTATTTCTAGACACACAATAAATTACAGCGAGACGAGGAAGGGGAGAGACTATAGAGAAAAAAAAAACTCCAGTTGCGCACTAAACCCGGCCGCCGCTGCGCCCGCGGGGCTCGCAGAGAAAAAAGCCATGAAGATAGTTTTAATGGTGGATGCCGATCTGCGCGTGGCGCAGACTCAGATTCCGCGAGAGGGGTGTGCAAAGTGATGTGGGGTGAACGCGAACGCGAAACGCGCCGAGCTCTCGTGAGGTAGCACAAGCATCCGTACCTTTCTCTCCATCACTATGCGCCTTTCTTTTTTTTTTCTTCCGGTGGAGGATGAGATGAGGTCTGTCTCCGTGTGGGATCGGCGGGGTCCGGCGTGGAGCGTGGAGCTTTTTTTTTTACCCCCTCTCTTTTCCCCTTCTCAACTTCCCTGGCAAGGGTCTCTCTCTCTCTCTGGACACACGCAGCTGCGGCTGCCCTATCGCCTCCCCATCACCGGACGGCTGGAGCCACTTCTCTGGGGCCGGCCTGTGGACGGAGCCGGAGCCCGGGTTGGTGAAGCCTCGCTGGGGAAGGAGCAGGAGCGCAGGCGCGGTCCCTGCCGGAGAGTCGATATAATGAAAAATGACCAGTGGCAGGGAGTGTCATCAAATTATCCTCACGAGCAGTATTTTTTTGTGGGGGGTGGTGGGGGGGGAGCTGATGGCTGCTCAGCCTGGAGATTTTCTTTCTTTCTTTCTTTTTTTCTTCTTTACTAAACCAGTGAAAGGGGCTGAGTTCAGGTTTTAAGCTCCACCAACAGCGACTGTTTGAAAATCCAAAGACAGAAACAAAGAGGCTCAGCTCAAACCCCAGCCACAAAGAGAGCAGAAGCAGCTCCCTAACCGAAGAGCATCTGCACCTCCTAACAAGCAACCCCCCTGACGAATGTGTAATAAGCTGGAGTTAATTGACATTTTGTTGCATGATTAAACCGGATAAATGACAACATGGGGAATGTTTATGACGCCACACTGAAAAAACATCATCATTACTGAGAGAAAAAAAAAAGGAATGACATGATCTGTGTATGCTCCCGGTCTTATGTTAGGTTATGTGAAGTGATTCAGACTTTGTTGGTCAAAGTTAGTTTAACTGGAATGTATTAAAAAACTCAGGTTGGTGGACACTAGTTTGGGGAACCATCACAGGAGTCCAGTTGTTTTTGTAGTGTTTTATTTGAGACAACACAAGAAACTTAGATTACTGTTTTATCTTTTAAAAAACAGCATTTGCTAAATGAGAATGGATTAAATACAAATAACCGAAAACAAGAAACAAACATGGACATTTTAAAGGAGGCGCCCGGTGCCCATTTTGTCCAGTCGTCTCTTCCTGAGGTTTGTATGAAATGTCTGAAATGGGCTTCGGTCAAAGGGACAAAGACAAAGAACAGCAGCTCCTTTTTTCCCCACCATCAAATTACACCTCTGCTCAAGCAAATCATTTCAGGGGGTGGAGTGACCCACTCGCCTCCACTTCGACCCTCCATGTCTTTTCTTTTTCTTTTATATCTGCAGTACTTACTTGACGGTACTTGGAGCATAAAATTGTGGAGTGAGAGAGTCGGTACTCAATAAGCTGAGATCTCAGATCCCACTGGAGAGCAAAAGAAAAGTACTCAACTGGCAATTTTATCCTCAAATACTGAGTCATGTGTGTTTATGAAACATTTTAAATCAAGAGTCAAGAGAGCTAATTACAAATCAGATTCACGTGTCGAATAGTCTTGTAAAGCCTTACAAGATCTGTGTGTTTTAATGTATTTTGAGCTAAATAAACAGCTTCAACTTCTCCATTCAAGGCACAAAAAATAAAATGTAGAAAGACGTAGAAACTGGGTGGGAAAGAAGATATAGGCTTTTGGCTAATCTTGTAAAGGGAGGCTAAGTTTTAGCTGGAGCTATAAAGGCTAATAAAGGCTGTTCTTGTGCAAATTACATTAAACAAACTACCAGGTTTGTGATTTTTCTCTGTCTGAGTTGGCTCTCCTTCGTCCAGGCGAGTCCTCTTCCTTTCAGATCACCATCGTCACACGGTGGAGGATGAAGGGCCCAGATCAGACTTCCGGAAACGGTGGAGACTAGAAAACGAATGGGTCTGGATGTAGAATTTTTGCCTTAAAATGTAAAGCAGATCTACACTTTAACATGACCCACCGTTAGCTTAAATCCTTACATCCATTTCCACGTAGCAGGCATGTGCTGGGACATAGGAAGGTTTAGACCCATCACTGGGCCCTGCAGGGCTTTTGAGTTCTCCAAAACAAGCTTCAGAACTGCAGCTCAGGCTGACCTGGAAACACTTTCCGCTCTTTCTGGGGAAGAGTTTTCAGAGATGACAGCCCGGGATTTGGGTCAGAGCTGAGTTCCAAACAAAGCTTTTCTCTCCGCAGTGCAGCCCACCTCTCCCCGCCCACGGACTCCCGTCGGCTCACCGCCGGAGCCCTGGCTCCGCACCAGCAGAAACAACACGGATCCGGCCCTCAAAAAACGGCCTGACATACTTTTTCAGGACCTTAAACCGCAGAGAGCACCGAGCGCGTTCCAAAAGCGATACCTTAAAACCAACAAACGCAGGCAGTCCCTCAATAAAGAATGAAGGTTTTTTATTAAACTGCAAACATGGGAAGCAGAGGAGAGAAAGCAGCTTTGGACACGACCAGCCTGAAAATGTGTGCGAGTCTTGATGGACTTTCAGAGAGATTCGAGTGGACGTTTGACTCCCGTCACATTTGGGTGGGTTGGTCTCGGGAGATCTGCCCAACCAAAGAGACACTTCCAAAAATAAAACTATTTGATTATGCAGCCAGAGGAATCATCGCGTCTGTGATGAACTGAGAGAGGAGATCCTGCCGTTTCCTTTTGGTTTCCCGGCCGAATCTCGTCTCAGTCCTGGACATCAAAATAATCTATCACAGGCTCCTCTTTCACCATCTTGGACCAGGTGTTTCCACTCTCGGCCCTGGAAGAGGAACAGGTTTAATTAAAAACGGAGACACTTAAAACTCACAGCACGACCTAATTCCCTCCGTGTGGGACTTCAGTGAGCGGCTGCAGGACGGCGGGCGTCTGTTTGACGGCGGAGGAAGACCTACTTGCTGCTGAACTGTTTGATGTGGGCGATGGGGGGGGGCGCCCTGGCCACCGTCTCCCGCTCTATCAGGGATGTCAGGCTGGAGTTTGGACAGGCCGACTTCCCCCTGTGAACCCAAACAATGCACAGTCACGTCCTCGGCCGGGGGGGAGGACGGGGGGAGGGTTTGGGGGGGTACCTGTGGGCGGTGAGGACCACGTTGCGCTTGGGCTCGCTGTCGTAGCTCACGCTCTCCACGCCGTAGACCTCCGACAGCTCGTGGATGATTTTGCGGTGCTCCCGGTTCATGGGCGGGAAACAGTGGCTCCTCTTCAGCTGCTTCCCCTGCAGACATCAGCAGATTTCAGGAGGGATTTCAAGCTCTGACAGGCCGATTTATGTCTTTCCCTTGGGCACTTCTACATGTTGGCAATTGGAGTAAATAGAGTAAACTTGGTTGCTTATGTATAGATGGCATTTGCAGAGCTATATTTCCTTATTTATCTACAGTGGGGGAAATAAGTATTTGACCCCTTGCTGATTTTGCAGGTTTGCCCACTTACAAAGAATGCAACGATCTATAACTTTAATCATATGTGCATTCTAACAGTGAAAGACAGAATACAAAAGAAAATTCCAGAAAATCACATCATATGAATTTATAAAAATTGATAACCATCTGATGAGGAAAAATAGGCATTCCTTGTAAGTGGGCAAACCTGCAAAATCAGCAAGGGGGTCAAATACTTATTTCCCCCACTGTATATAAAACCCATAGAACAATGACTAAAAATTACATTATAATTACATGAAAATACTGCCTGTTGCGTAATAACACAGAAATAATGGACAACATTCAGACCTAAGGCAATATATTGTGTTTTTCAGGCTTTTTTCTAAAACAAACAACACAATCCTCCTGTCCTTTTTTAAGCATTTCTGGTAGGTACCTCCACTGCATCCACATGCTCAGACCAACTCCTTTCAGTAAGTGCAGAACAGAGAACCGAACAGGGAGGAAAACAGTAAAAAATAGCTGGCGTAGAACTAGTGCATGCTCTTTGCCAGAAGGCAGTTGGAGAGCATCACGGCAGTGGAGGTGGATTTAACGACCTTGTTTATGGGAAGGTAAAAGCCCACACAAAAAGAATAGTAGGATGAAATGAGGGCGAGTGCGTCCAACACAGTGTGCAGCCAATTTAAGACTCCAATAAATCCAATTCGGATGGACTTTGATCCGGATTCATTGTTCCAAAGAGATTCGGTTAGTGATGAATCGACATTTTCGGTCCAGATCAAACACATGAAAACTCAACAACCTCGCTCAGCCCATCGGACGCAGAGAGGAAAGTGCAGAATCCAATTTAAATCTGAACAGCCTTCACATTTTTTCTCTTTTGAGGGCCAAGGTGGGAACAATCAGGGTGTGATAACACTCTGTAAACCGTGAGGTGCTTAAAGGGGAAAGACCGAAGAGGGATTTTGATGACCTGCATGGTTTTGGGTGATTACAGTCTACAAATGTAAGAATGAATGAGTACTGGACTGAAGCAAAGACTGAGGATTTTACATCACCTGTATGATGGATCTATTGCTTGGCGTCGAGTAGAAAAACCCACATTGAAATCAGCTCCTAGATAAAGCTTATTAAGTTAACACTGTACCTTATTGACGAGCTCAACGAGGTTCCTGAGCTCCTCTTCGACCTCCGTGACGAACTTCGGGTCTTTTCTGAAAGACGAGCAGAGGAGAAGGGAAACTTAGCGCGGCTTTGAGGGGAGGAAAGCGCCTGGCGGGCGGGCGGGGGGCCGATGGCGGACCTGGCGTCCTCTTTGAGGCTGTCGCTGTAAATGGAGGTGGAGCGCACGTTGAAGGGGTCGGAGGAGGAGTCGATCTGCAAAGCCTCCGCCAGCCGCCGGTTCCTCTCCAAAGTGGCGCACTCCTGGTCACACTCCAGCCTGAGACGTTCAACTTTGGGTTAAACCGATATCCAGGAGTGACCTCGTTTCAAGCTTAGATCACTCGTAAAATAATCTACAATCGGACGACTCGATTTCTAATCAGCAGACTGTCCTTTTCCTCCTTTCTCCTGCTCTACCTGGCCTGTTTGAGCTCCTTCTTGGTGAGGAGCGGGCCGATGTCCATGGAGTCGCCCAGCTGCATGTCCGACAGCTTGCTCGCCATGGCGATGGCCGCGTACCTGCGGGGATCCATAGAGGGAAAACCTGAGCTGGGATGGCCCTCAGAGCGAAGGCGGGCGGGTGAACGGGGGGGGGGACCGACCTCTGATAGGAACTGGCTGCCTCTGTGCAGGCGACCGTCTCCTTCCTCCGCCCGCAGCCACACTGCAGCGCCACCTGCCAACAAAAGAAAACAAGTGATGAGACGTGCATTTCTCCAGATGAGAAAAGGGATTATGATCTAAAAGAGCATCTCCTATCCTAACCCTAACCCGTACCTCTATCCCCCCCCACAACTCCTTCTGTAGTCCCTCTACCTCTATCTCTATCTCACCACTGACTCTGATCAGTGTTTCTCCTCTGTATAGCTTATTGTCATAGTGATGATAAATGTAATATTGTGTCTACTCTGTAAGTCGCTTTGGATAAAAGCGTCTGCCAAATGCACAAACATAGACATAAACATAAAAGCATGTTCCTAAGAGCCACGTGCAGCTGTGAAGGACCTCACTGCCCGTTAAACTGTTGAGGTGGAGGCCGCAGTGTTATGTTAGACGTCATTAACTACTAACAGCAGCCTGGACAGAGCAACAGAGAACAGTGGGAATAACCAGCTGGGCTTTTAATGGCGATGTGACGGTCCAAAAAAATGTCATCCGGCAGGGAAATGAGCTTTTACAGGAAGGTGGGGCTTTTGCTGGTGGGAAAATCTGCTTTAAACCGCTGAAAATCGGAGTCTTCGTGCGATAAAAGCTGGCCAAATTAAAGGTGACATATTATGCAAAACCAAGTTTTTAATAATTTGATTATGTACATTTGGGACTGTGGAGGGCCTATCAGCAGGCAAAGTGTGAAAAAAAATGACTCAGTCATGTTTTTGTGGGCTGCCTGTCTGAATCCAGGAGATAAATCAGGAGGTTTCAGGAGTGGGTAGTTTCTGACGTCATTAGCTCTAGCTCATTATAATATTCCAGCCTTTCACCTGCATGTTGCCCCCCCCCTCAGCTTACTCCCCTATCTGTGGCAGACGTCGTGGTAGCGTGAGCGTTAGCATGGTAGCGTTAGCATGGTAGCGTTAGCATGGTAGCGTTACCGTGCCGACGCCGGCACACCTCCCGGAAGAAGTGGGTGGATTGCCTGTGTCTCATTAGCATTTAAAGAGACAGGCACTCCAAAGCGAGCGCTCTGAACGGGGCTGTTTTGGCAGGGTTAGGGTTAGGGTTAGGCAGGGGGACTGAACCGCTATTGGGCTTCATCCTTATGGGATTTTGACCAAAGCTTGTCACAGACATTACATTAGGACACCAGAGAACAAGTTTAACTTGTTGAAATAGGGTATAATATGTCTCCTTTAAGGTCCGGAGCTGGGTTTTCCAGCACGGCGGGCGGCTGGCCGGGCGCCGTTACCTTGGCGGAGCAGGAGGTGGGCGGGCAGTTGCCTCGGTGACAGGGGGCGGAGCACGGGTGGCCGCAGTCTGGGCGGGGCAGCGTGCAGGGCTGCAGGCAGCCGCCCTCCGGCAGGCACTCCCCCCGGTGGCACAGCCGCCTGCAGCGGTGCATCTCACAGGGGAGGACTTTGTTGCAGGTCAGGCCGCAGGAAATGTCCTGCAGGTGACACGGGATGTTGCTGCGTTGCTGAGGAGGAAAAAAAACACAGTTAGTTCTATTGCACGACGAATACCCAACTATTCTTGTCCCACCCCCCTCTACCTCACTAATTTACCTAATGGTTCAGCATTTTCTGGTCTGTCGTTGCAGATCAACATTGCACATTTCAATTGTTCATTTGCACATTCGGATCTATATTTTTAAAGATTGTTCATTTGTACATTCGGATCTATATTTTTAAAGATTGTTCATTTTTACATTCGGATCTATATTTTTAAAGATTGTATTTTTCAGTTTTATCATTTCTGTCTTATATTTTTATTTCTACATTTTATTTCTTGCTTCTCATAGAAGTGTTGTGTTGTGCACCAAACACCAAGGCAAATTCCTTGTAAGTCTAAAAACCTACTTGGCAATAAACCTTATTCTGATTCTGATTCTGATAAAAAGACAAAAACCTCGCTAGTGTTTAAGCTTCGGGGACGTTACCTCATGCTTCCCCATGCACCACTTCTGGGTGAGGTATGTGCAGGGGGGGCACTTGTCCTCGCTGTGGCAGTTGTGGAACACTAAAGCAGAAAGATGGCGGGTCAAGCGGAGTCAGGGCTGTTGGAGGAATGATGCAGCATGTATGGGCGGAGCCCCGGCTTACCCGGGTGGTCGCACTCGTGTCTGCGTGTGCACAGGTTTTTGCACTCGGGCGGCTTGGTGCCGCAGGAGACGGGGGGGTAGAGAACGGACACGCCGCAGTGACACGTCAGCTCGTCGAAACCTGCCCACAGGAGAGCCGCGTCAGGCTGGACGGCGAAGCAAAACCGGGGCCCGAAATAGCCGATAAAGTTACGAGCTTATAAATAGAACCGACGGGACTCACTGGACTGCCAGCAGGGCTCGCAGTTTCCACGGTGACAGGGCTCCTGGCAGCGGTGGAGGCCGCAGCCCAGCTTGTAACCGCAGATCAGGGGGCACTTGTGCTCCGAATTCTGCCGAATAAAAAAAAAGAAAAAAAGGGAAGCAGAGTTTGGGGAGCGTCACTCTTTCGATCTCAAGCTGAAATCCGACGGCGTGTGTCTGGACGCCGGACACTAACCACGCAGCACAGCTCGCCACATTTGTGGCGCCCGCAGGAGCGCTTCTTGTTGCACCGCCGCTCGCAGGTGAACACCAGCTGGTCTGAGGGGGCAAAGGTCAGAGGTCAGACGCGTGGCCATGGGACCACGCGTCCAGCTTCGTCTCAGAGTTGAGATTCTCACCTTCTTTTTGGATTTTGGCACACGGGACCTCCTGAAACAAACACACAAAAAACCTTTGAGGTCTCTGGCCTGATGAAGGGTGGACGGGACTTTTTTGGGGGGTTTTTTTTTTGTGCCCACCTTGGTGTTGGAGCCACAGCGACACCTGATAGTGGAGGTCAGCGAGCAGGGCCCGCAGCCGCCCTCATGGCACAGACTCTCGCAGAGGTGGATGGTGTCTGGATTAGGAAAAGATCGTTATCGTTAAGACTAGCTGGAAAAAACAAAAGCGTGGGCTCCGGTTCAGGTACATCCTGTTTGTGAGCACACAGACACAATAGACCACAGGGAGGAAAATAAAAATAGAACCCGGTCAAAGATGTGAGCGAAACCCTGCAGGATGCCATTATAACTTAAGGAAACTGGTGATTTTTAGGATTATAAGTTACTTATAAGACTGGGGACATACAGGCTTTAATCTTAATGTTTAACAGGACATGGGGATGAATGGTACAAAACCTTTAAAAACAGATGAGTTAAACCTGACAGATTGATGTTTGGCAGCTTTATTTCAAACTCTTTTTGCCTTTGCTTGTGACTCTAAACGCTCCGGGGCTTTCTGTGAGCAAACAAACCATCAAGGAAATCCACTTATGTGTTGCAGATATCAAATGAAACACCTGGGCTGCTGAGGCCCGTTCTGCTGCCGGGCATTTTCCAATCACACGCTTTCCAGAAGCTTTGCACCTACTACACACATCATATGCTGGAGCCAGTTCCACTCCTAACCCGCCCCACCATGTTTGGCGAACTGAGCCTCTGAATACGCCTCAAAAATAAGTAAAAAAACCAGTCGAAAGACACAAAACTACAAAACCGGTGGCCTCCAGGGTCGTCACGATACTTAAATTTTCAACTCGATACCGATACTCAGGAAAATACTCGATACTCGATACCATTTTCGATACCACAAGGATAAAACAAATACCCCAAAATTTAACTGAATTTTGACAGGTTAGTGTCTTTGGTTTAAAACTGACCTGTTACTGATGTTATCGTGAGTGGTGGTCCACATTAATGACCCTAATCCTAACCGTCCACCCTTCATAAATGTGAGAAATAAATATTTTCTGGTTAAACTTGTTTGGACTTATTGTACAAACCTATGTAACATCCACTATTTTAACATAATGATATTTATAGAGTTTTATTGTTTGAAAGATTAATTTCAGTATTGTTAAATTAATGTCTGTATTGCCATGAAGCAATTACGATTTTCTTGGCCTAAATCTTCATATTGGTGACGTAATGAAAACGGCCGACTTGGATGTGGGCGGAGTTTGCATCCAGACGTATTTGATTAATGTTGGCGTGTTATTATTAGCCATTAGCCGCAGCTAGCAATTCAAGGCTAACATCTTGTTAATTATCATAAACAACGTAAATAAATACATAAATAAATCAGAGAGAAGGGGCGCAGCGAGGGCAGGTCAGCGTCGCGCGCGCGCTCGCGCGGTGGTATCGATACTTTTTAAAATGAGTATCGTATCCGGATACAACATTTTAGTATCGATACTTTTTCGAGTATCGATACTTTTGACAACCCTACTACACACATCTGATGCTGGAGCCAGTTCCGATCCTAACCCGCCCCACCATGTTTGGTGAACTGAGCCTCTGAATACGCCTCAAAAATAGGCCCAAAAACTAGATGAAAGACGCAAAACTAAACCGGACAGAAAAACCGGTGGCCTGTTTTCTTTCGTTTCGTACCGCTGGAGCCGCAGGGCAGCGGTTTGCTGCAGGTCTTCCCGCAGGACGGGATGGGCTCGGAGCAGCTGCGGCGCTCGGCGTAGCCCAGCTCCAGCAGCTTGGCCAGCGGCGTCTGGCCGCAGGGGCAGGCCCGGACCCGCCCGGGCGCCCGGGGGCACGGGGCGCACGGCTGCCGGTGGCAGGGCTGCAGGCACCGGTGCGCCTGGCACTCCAGCGGCCTGGAAACAGGGACAGATAAACAGGTGAATACCGGCCTGTAGATAAATACCGGCCTGTGGTTCCAAAGACGGGCGGCACGGTGGTGTGGTGGTTAGCACTGTCGCCTCCCAGCAAGATGGTTCTGGGTTCGAATCCCGGGGGAACCAGGACCGTTCTGTTTGCATGTTCTCCCTGTGTCTGCGTGGGTTCTCTCCGGGTTCTCCGGCTTCCTCCCACAGTCCAAAAACCTGCATGTTTGGTTGATTGGAGATTGGGGAAATTGCCCTTAGGAGTGAATGTGAGTGTGAGTGGTTGTTGGTCCTTGTGTGTCTCTGTGTGGCCCTGTGATGGACTGGCGAACTGTCCAGGGTGTACCCTGCCTCTCGCCCCTTGACCACTGGGATAGGCTCCAGTTCCCCCCGCGACCCCATATGGGAATAAGTGGTATTGATAATGGATGGATGGATGGATGGATGGATGGATGCATTCCACAGACGGACGCGCTGCCCGGCCTCTCACCTCCCGCACGGCTTCTGGCAGCAGAAATATCCCGAGCCGTCGAACCCCTCCGTGTCCGAGCCGCACGGGACCGTGCGAGTGGTCGCACCGCAGTAGCAAACTGCACACAAAAAGAAACTCAACACTATCAGACTTAAAATACAAGGGACTGCAAAAAAACAAGATGAGTATATAATGCTGGAAAATTCAGATTCAGTTTGTACCATACAGACTTGGAGAAAACAGAATAAAAAAGTAAAAATTCACGGCAGACAAAACCACACGCTGTAGCAATCCCTCCCATCTAAGAGCATCTCCTATCCTAATCCTAACCCGTACCTCTATCCCCCCCACAACTCCTTCTGTGGTCCCCTCTACCTCTATCTCTATCTCACCACTGACTCTGATCAGTGTTTCTCCTCTATATAGCTTATTATCATAGTGATGATAAATGTAATATTGTGTCTATTCTGTAAGTCGCTTTGGATAAAAGCGTCTGCCAAATGCATAAACATAAACATAAAATTTTAGTTTGCATCCTTGCCTTGTGTCTTCAAATGGGTATTGTAACTACGGTAGCCATCATATATCAAGAAGTAATGACAACGTGACTTCCACATCATCCAGTTTTCTCTTGGCTGATGAGGTTTGTAATTTAAAAGAAATAAACTGCATTCAATCATAGTGTGAGCATGTAATTACTCCTCCAATAAGATAACGAATTACGTTTCCATGCTAGTTTGTTTGGATTAGCTGGACAGGGAGACTAGTGCTTTATGTCCCTCTCTGTGATTGCAGTTTTTCAAAATGGCGGAACGCCATGGAAACCACCGTGGACTTACCCGTCCTCTGTATATACAGATAGGAAATCCTTTTCTTATGAAAAGTCAGACCATTGCAGAGGTAATTTTACCCCAAATGAAGACACATTTAAGAATGATTTTAGCTAAGAAAATACTTCAAATACCACGCAAAGTCCCTTTAAAATGACCCTTTAAAAAGGTCTTAATTTCGAGCGTCTACTCATACTGGGAATGCGTTCTGGGTCTTGAGACTCACCCTGCTGGACCTGCAGCTGGCAGGGCTGGCACACCCCGCCGTGGCACACCTTTGTGCAGCGGTGTTGGCCGCAGTTGAGCGCGGCGTCGCACACGGCGCCGCACTGGAGCGCCGCCGCCTGGCCGCAGCGCATCGGCTGACTGGGAGGAGACGGTTGGGTCAGAGTCCACGGCGCCAAAAGGCGAAGGCCCGCAACAGGGTTACGGTGGAGAGGACCCCGGAAAACACAGTTACCTCGTCCTCCCGCAGACGCAGGACTTCGTCACAAAGGCCGGACACGGAGGGCACGGACCCGGGTGGCACAAGCTGGGAGGAGACAGAGGTTTCCACACGTTAGACACGCGTGAGCTCTAAAGGTCACATGATCGACGACATAAATGAAGCCCTGCTCTTACTGCACAGGGTTTAATGTATTTATATTCTAAAATGACATAAACAAAGCCCTGCTCTTACTGCACAAAGTTCCACTTATTTATACTCTAAAATGGGTTCAAAAGGGGTGGTATTTTCTGCCTTTTAACGAAAGATTATGCAAATATAAAAAAGTACGTTTAATGGATCACAGCATCTCCTTCATACATATTAGACTAGTTCTTAAAAATATTTATCAGAGGAAGTTTTATGGAGCTCCACTGTAAAAATGTCCAAGAAAAATAATAACCAGAGATTTAAACTGCTCTTCTTTTCTAACCTTTGATTGTATCGAACTATCTTATCATCACTTATCTGCCGTCATGGAGCTCTTTTCTGTAGCTTCAAGCTAAAAAAATAAACAATTCAACAAGGAGACTTTCTCCAAAACATTATGTAGAATATTTCTATCGTTTAAAGACTCGCTGTCGGCCATTTAAAACCAGAACCAGGGCTTTAGAGACTCACATGTTGCAGGGGTGGTTGCAGTCGGCTCCTCCCCTCTTCTTCCCACACATGTCCCCACAGCTGTGGGGGATCTCCGTGCGCTGCCACTCGGGGTTGGTCACTTTACCTTCACAGCAAAGAAAACGCAATCATCACCTGACATCAGGCAGCAGCCTACAGTCAGACAGACACAGGCAGAGGGGGGGGGGGGCGTCTCTATCTGTGGGGGTGAGGCTGAAAACTCACCACAGAAGCAGAGGTAGGTGGCGGGGTGTTTCGCCGCCACGTTCTGGCACGCCGGGCAGCGCCAGCCCTCAGCAGAGTCTGAAAAACAGCCGCAATTTAACCATCTTTACACATATTTGGATCACATATTTGGACATGTGTATTTATGTTGTATATTTCTACTCTTTTTTTATGTTCTTATTATTTCCTACTGTGATTTTTTTTAACTCATTGGCTGCCAAAGACGTCTATAGACGTCTTTTATGTTTTTCAACGCGAGTGGCTTGGGGGACGATCTGCTAAAGCTTGTCCAATGGTTCGCTATGAGAGAAATGGCGCCGGTGAGACGCAAGTCGAGGAAGAACGGAATAAGGTAGAAACACTTTTTTTTTTTCCTGATGAAAGAAGAGAGTCTACTCTTTCTTTTTGTGTGTTCGGTGTTTACATAGTCATAGCACAAACTATTCTGTGGCTCTTGAAAAATCTGTCAAAATGCTCAAAAAACTCTGGCTGGCAGTCAATGAATTAATGGTTTGTTCATAATGTAATGTAATTTCTTCATGTGAGGACCCCAGGAAGACTAGTGGCCATTTATTTGGCAGCTAATGGGGATCCTAATAAAACTAAACTAAACTAAACATTGTTTGTTTTTTTGCTGAGTGAAAGCACAACCGGCCGGTCGTGTTACACTGCTGAGTCAGCAGGAGCTTTCAAAGAGCCTCTGCTCAGCTCTGGGGGCCAGGGGTTTGTTCCAGAAAAAATGGACAGGAGACCAAAATGTGAAATACCATCTGCCTGCGAGGCCGGGGAGCGCGCCCATTTCTTGATGCAGTTGAGGTGGAAGACGTGGAAGCAGCTCTGGCAGCTCCACACCGGGGCCATGGCCCGGATCACGTCGCAGCACACCATGCACTCGTATTTCTCCTCAGACAGCTGTTCAATCAGGCATCCTGCGGAGGGACGAGAGCAGAGATCAACAACAATAGTTCCAGCATATTTCTACTATTGTCTCGTGCTCATAAAACATTTGGCTGATTAAAAAAATATCTATAGAAAAGTGCTATAAATGTGAACACTCATGACTTAATCTAACATGATAATAAGGTGCTGTTCAATAGTGAAATCTAACCCGTCTGAGTCTCTTTGCTCTTGGGCATCTGGTCCAAGCTCCTCTGGCTGGGTTTGTGGCTTTGGGGGTTCATTCTCCTCCCCCCCCTGACCTGATGGGGGCTGTTTCGCCCCAATCCTTTCCCAGCTTTACCGGGCGGTTCCTGAGGGGTCCGGCGGGGGTCGGCCCCCCTCTCTGAGCCCGACTCCTCCGGATGGGGCGGCTTTGGTGGTTTGATTGGTCCTTGGCGTTTCCTCTGATTGTCGTAATGTTGTCGACTTTTATCGGAGGTTTCTGAAGCAGGGTCTTCTCCTTTGACGCCGTGTGACCTCTGACCTACCGCCGCCGTGTTGTTGCCTCTGTTCCCCCGTTCCTGGTCGAGGTTCCTGCTTTTTCTAGCCTGAGCATCCTGCTGCCGTCTGTTGGTTTGATCCGAATCCCTGTTTGCGCTCTCTCTCCGCCAGCTGGGTCCATCGGACTGGTAGCCACCCGCATACCGGCTACCTGGACCGTACTGCCCAAAATCCCCGGCAGGCTTTAGCCACATGGGGCCCGGGTAACCAAAATGTCCATTTAAACCTCCCCTGCCTTCTTCTCTCCTTCCCCTTCCTCTGCCTCTCCTCCTGGACGCATCCTCTCCTTGGTAGGGAGGATGCGGCTCAGCATAATTTACATTATTGTAGCCGTAGGGCTGTTTAAAGCCCGGGTAGGAGGGTCCATACTGTGGGGACGGGTCGTAGCTGTTACTATCCAGGTTTCTGTCATTACTGTGTCTGGGCCGACCTCTTTTAGACTTGCGTTGATGTGGCTTTTGATGTGAGGTCCCATCTTGATTAATGTCAGGCGGTTCTAAAAGAAAAACACACACACAGACAAAGAAAAGGCGATGGTAATAAAGGTTTCAAATTTTATGGTCAATGCGAGTAACAAAACATAGTAACAAGGATACTAAAGTGACTAAATAAATCCATCAAATTAAAGACAAATTTACAAATTTAAATCCGTCCTCCACTGTTAATATTTATGGTTTTTAATCTACAACAACAAATCTTAAAAAATGTCATTAAATTTTACTGTATTTATGATAAAAGGTTATGGATTTTTTATCATTACAAACAACAAACATGATATAATTTAGAGACTGATTACTGAAAATGTTACTTTACATTATATTTGATCAAACACAAAACCAAGACAAGCTAATCATGAGGTTTACTTGACTTAATTTATAAATCCAGGCAAACAAGTTATATTCAGATCTTTTTCACAAGATAGAGTTGAGCCATAAAACCTAGTTAACCATCCCAGCAGGTCCAAAGCTAACCGGAAACAGGATCCCGGGCCAGGTATAACCCGGGATATCAAAGTTCACAGTCACTTTATGTCATCACTATGATCTCACAGTCAAGCTTGGCAAACCCCTCAAACCCTGGAAAATTAATGACTCAACACTGGAAACAAGTCACGTTGTCTTGAAGTTTGACGCCGGTGGCTAACATTAGCTAGCTAACGCAGCTAGCATCTCAATATGTAGCTCTTACTTATCGGCACGCGGGCTAAAGTGGCAAACTTTAAGTGACTTAAAATTGAATATCGAGGGATTTGGGGTATTTCTAGAGCGTTGGGTCACCCGTAAGTGGAAGTATTAAGAAGGCAGGTTACCTGAGGAGCCCTCAGCCATTCACTTTGAACCCTGACTGTTGCTCCTTTCACGTAACAAGTTGGCCGACAGCAGGTTGCTTTTAACGGGGATGACACGCGCACACGCACGCTCCCAGACAGTGGCCGCCTCCTCACTGGTGCTGTGGTCCTTAAAACTTCACAGGAATCCCCTGAGAAACAGCTGTAATCGAGCCTCGTCTTCACCAGTAAACACGAGCTAGCTGAGGACTAGCAAGGAGAATGTTGTAAAGCTAACGGGAATCTAAACCGGAACTTCCGGTCAGTATATATTTCTTTCAAAAGAAAATGCATACAGGCACGTATTTACGTAAAATAAGAGTCAAATATCTCTTAAATTATCATCTGTACGTTAGTTTGTCCAGTATATGTGTCTTAATGTCTACTTTAAAAACTATAAGGTGAATGTAAACGTTTGATATTTTAACCACGCATTTACTGAAATGTAATCAAGGCATTATGGGACAGGCTACAAAAAGACTGACAGAAAAAAAGATTATGTGAGGTTAACATGAAAAGAAAGCCAAACAAACGAGCAAATAAATACGTGCATTTATCCAAAGTGGAAGCATGCTATTCAGGATTTCAAAAACCTGTCCTGAGACACTAAGATGCAGAAACGAAGAGGAGTTCATGACTATGCAAAATACAATAAAGAACAGATAATATTCTGTCAGTTTAAGAATAATCTCACATTTGAAAGACTTCAGGGTGTAGGGGTTATAGCATGCTTCTCTTGTAAACTAATAAAACAATACATAGGCTAAACAACACAGTTTGACGTTTTTTTACACTCCATTTAACAGCTTCTTGCTTATTTAAGCAAGACAATGTCATCCAGACTTTGGGGATCTTACAACCCCACGTCTCCACCATGCAGGACTCCAGTTCTTAAACTGAACTGTTTGCAAACTTTCAAATTTCTGATCTGTTGAGCATCTTATTGAAGAAGAATGGAAAAGGTGTCCCTTGTTAAATCCATGGTTCCTGGATTTCTGCTTATGTTACCCGGGTGTAAACAGGATCTGTCCCAAATGTCTTGAAATATGTTGCCTACATAATAACAAAACAAGCATGTATCAAGCAAAAACAAACAATTCTCATGTTCATTACTTAATGTGTTGCCTTCAGTAAATAAAAGGGCTAAATGGTTCGATTTAATTCAAATTTTTGGTATTTGGAAATAGGTTTGTGCAGGTCATTGAGAAAAAACACATTCCAAACACATGCTTTTATAAGTGTACACGTTGTCATCATTTTGTGTCTTTTGTAAAATGAATGCAATGCAACCTGTTAATCTGAAAGCTGAAGAGAAACCGGCATGCCCACAAGATGGCGCTTCATGACTGAGTTTGCACAGTGAAAAGGGCTTGGAAAACAAACAGTGATGCTAATAAACCCCCTTGTATTTTCTGTGTTAACCTCATATCCATGTGCGCTTTGATGCTTTCTATTCAAATACTGCATTTATGTTTTTTTTTTTAAAGGAATTGAAAGTGAAATCTGTGGAATGAAGGGGGTTCATCTTTGACTGTGAGAGGTATTCTCCTCCGGTCCTTATGTCCCTATGGGCCGCTGTCCAACAGGTCTGAGAGGTTTTCCTGGTTCAAAACACCCGATTCTGATTAAACTGATCTATTCAAAAGACTGTTAGCTCTGCACAAGCCTCCGAATGGTGTATTGATTTGAATCGGGAGTTTAGAAAAAGGGAAATATCTAAAAACCTGCAGGACTGTGGCCCTCGAGGACCAACTTTGGACTCCCCAGGATTCTGTGTCACTCTGAGATGAACAACACAGTCCAGTCTTATCTAAACTGGGAGAATAAGACTATATTCTTTAAAGCTAAATTAGATTTGGCAAGCTTTGAATGTGCATGTCTATTATCATTACATGTATTGTATTACAAATGTGGGACACGGATGTGCAGCCGTCTGACGCTGAATTCACAGGGAAAGAAACGTTACAAGAGTTGGAGCTAAAATATTTAGGAGATTAATGAGCTTTACTCTTCTCTCAAGGCCAGAAACAGGAGAACCTATGAATACAGAGACTCTAAAATGCCATCAGTTGACACCCACAGACTTTGTCATTTGTGGTGGTGCATTTAACCCCTCTTTGCTTCCTGGAGAAAAAAAAAGTATAAAGAGAGAGATGTACATTCAAGAAAAAAAAAAGCCAAATAGATTCATTACAAGATAACAGGCATTGGACTCAAAACCAACAAATGTTTAGATAAAGCTGTCGAAGCAATTATTATACAAATGCTAGCTTAATTTATAACCAAAACACCAACACAGACCGAAGTAAGCCGACTCATTTAGTCAAGAAATGTCAAAACAATGAAGCTCCACCATATAATAAAATATAAAATTGTATCAAATGGTAAAAATTATGGGCCCAGTTGTTCATCATGCAAATTGCTACCCTTAAATGATACGTTTTCAGCCCTGAAAGTGCAGCTTTCACTGAAAAAATGACGGGATTACTGATGTTTCTGTGCAGCTCTCTCTCTCTTTTCTTGCAGACCCGGATCGCTCTGCAGTCCCAGAGTCCACACCGCGCATGCGCACAGCGGCTCCTCGTCCCCCTCGGTGGGGCGATGGGTGGGAGACAACTGCATGAAGATGGCGTTCACCAGATACCGGATATCGGGGATTTTCATTTAAAAAATAAAACACAGAGCATCAAACTCTTGAATGAACATCGCCACAAAAGAAACAGCACAGACTCACAAACTACCCTGAGATGAGGATGTGATAAATATAGCAGTATGTCTTTTCCACATGAAAACCTAAAAAATAAAAAACTATTTTTTGCTGAGGTTCTGAGTTGATTTATTTCAACGTCTCACGTGATGCCTGATGTCTACCTGAGGTCCCAAAATCCAATAATCAGGAGATCCAATGCATAGAAAATAAATAATTTCTTCTCTTAATCATCATGGGGAATGTGAGATCGGCAGCAGGACAAATCTGGAAAGATGAGATCTGATTTCTTTAAGACTACATGGGCAGAGTGTCAGGTACAAAGATGGTGTCTCCACACACCAGTGGTTGAACTCTTCTGGAACAGTTTCTGTCCATGTTGCAAACATATCAGAGTGGCCAGGAAGCTTATAAAAATTACTCCCCGCTATAGTGATAACTTTATGTAAATATTCTTACCTCACGTCTCTCTTTAAACTCTTTAAACTTTCCAATTGCTTATTTACTGACTTGTATTCCATGTTATTCCGCTTTATCTATCTATTGTCACAGTATGTATTTGATACAGCGATACAGTATAATTTTAGATTGTGATAAATGTGGTTGAACTAAATTGAATTTGGTCAAAAAGTCCTAAAGTTACATGTTTAAGTCGACAGTGGGGATATCTGAAAACAAGTATAGCATAAAAGTTGGTCTGAGGCGCAGTGGAGATATCTAAAAACAAGTGTAGCAAAAAGTTGGTCTTAGCCACAGTGGAGATATCTAAAAACAAGTTTAGCAAAAAGGTGATCTGAGCCAAAAAGACTTTACAACGCGTAAACACTTGGATGAAGAAAAGGCGTTCAGGGTGGGTTTTATTCTGAAACTCCGCCCCGGAAGTGGGGCGTTCTTCCCACGGCTAGCTTGACTCTGCCTCCGCACAGCTCTCCGCGCGCGGCCGACCAGGACTGAGTGGCAGTGAACGTGTCTGCGGCAGCCGTTAGCTCCCCGAAAAAACACAACAGCTAACCGCCGAGCAGCAGGAGCCCCGGAAACCGTCGGCTAGCCCCGGACTATGAAACAAAGCACCGGAGGCTGGAAACGCGGACGCCGTTTGGACGGAAAGCGGCTTACGGCACATCTGTAGCGCATAATGAGGGCATCCGCTATTCTTCGCGGCGCTTTTTCCTCCAACGTTTAGTCGGACGCGGAGTGACACCGTTTTTTTTCTAAATGTGTCGCTTTTAGAAAAAAGCCTCTCCAGGAAAAAATATACAAAAAAAAAAAAAAACACAAAAAGGGGGACGCAGCCCGTAGAAATTTAGGTAAATTCCACCTCCCGGAGAACAGTGAAGTCATCCGAGAAGTCACCACCGAAGAAGAAGACGCGTCTTAATCCTCCGGATAGTTTTACACTTTTTCTGAGGAAAAAAAAAAATAGTCCTCTCCCCTTTTTCCGCCTCGCGCCAGACTCCAGCTGCTTCCCACCTATTTTTTTATTTATTTAAAAAAAAAAACATCTTACATGTTTTTGTCCCTCTGAATATTAATCTCCAACCCTATACCGTGGGCATTTTTTTTCTCCTCCACCGACCCCCCCCACCTCCTCCTCCTCTTCCTCCTCCTCCTCCCCTGCCTCCGTTTAAAGGATGCCGGATCAAATATCGGTGTCCGAGTTTCTCTCGGAGACGACAGAGGATTATAATTCCCCGACCACGTCCAGCTTCACCACCCGGCTGCAGAGCTGCAGGAACACGGTCAACGTGCTGGAGGAGGTAAGGCCCCGGATGGAGGGATGGAGGGAAGGAGGGATGGATGAAGGGATGGAAGGAGGGATGAATGGATGGAGGCTTTCCGGAGCCCATTTTTGCAAGATCTAGACCCCAAAAAAGGGTCTCAAACGCAGCCATTCTCATTTTAGTGTTGATGTTTTAGCCCCTGTTGACGTCAGGTTTGGTTTGGATTCATACATCTCCAGATTAAACCCATCTGGGGGATGTTTGACAGCATCCCCAGAGGCCCTGAGTGGGTTTTTATTTATTTATTTTCCCAGCTGGAGATCAGTCACTCAAAGGCCAAAAAGAGAAAACAGCACCTGTTGCTGCTCCTGTTATTATTTTTGATGTTTTATGCATTCTTTATTATTATTTTTCTCCATTGAGCACGACCTCCTCCTGAAAGGAGCGTGTTGTCCATCACCCGGAGGGACGTGAGGCGTTCAAAGCCGGCGTTTGTGAGGGCCATCTCCATTACGGCGCCTCGTTCCGGGGGGAAACTTGCAGCTCTTTCTTGGCGGATATGCGGAG